AGGGAATGTGGGGTGGAAAGGGGGAACCGATTACAAGAATCTAAATATTGCCTCCTCCCTGGGGAATGGACAGCAGAGAAGAGGGTGGGGGGAGACATCGGACAGTGTAACTTATGACAAAACTATAATAAGTTGTGAATTATGAAGGGTTCATGAGGGAGGCGGAGTGGGGAGGGAGGGGGAAAATGAGCAACTGATATTAAGGCAAATGCTTTGAGAATGATGAGGGCAGCAAATGTACTTATGTGCTTGACACAATGGATGGATGGATGGATTGTGATGAGAATTGTACGAGCCCCAATAAAATAATTTTTAAAAATACAAACAAAAACTTCCAAAGTTAAAAAAAAGGAGTTGTACGAGCCCCCAATAAAATGATTTTAAAAAGAATGAGCTGTACAAATTGACAACAGCAACTCCAAATGTGAGCCAACAACCTTAGGGAGCAGTGAGTTTATATCAGTGAAAGAACAACTCGAAAAAGGAAGGTGCTGTAACTAATGCCCCATAGTGCACAGGGAAACGCTGGGTCTGTGTCTCACTGCGTCTCCTCAATGACACGAAACGTAAAGGGACACAGAAAAGAGGAAATGCAGGGCTGAGCCGGGCTCTAGTTATGTGTTCAGAAAGAAGAGCCTCACGTTATTTTTCGTTAAGCCATGTTATTGGCATGTAATTTACATACCAGACCAGTCGATGGTTTTAATATATGAAGAGTTTGCACCATCACCACACTCAAGTTTAAATCATTGTCTTCATGCCTGTTCCCATTATTACCAGTTCCCCATGACCTCACCTCCAATGCCGTAACCCTAAGGAACCATTCATCCAGTTACTGTCTCTATGGATTACCTATCAGGGATTTCATATAAAGAAAATCATACCCCATAAAGAAAACCCCAACAATGACAACAGAATAAAACTCAGGGAAACCTACATGTACACAAAAGCAGAAGGTAACAGAAACAAGAACAAATTAAAAATGGGTCAAAAAAGAAAACAATATGTTACTATTTTACATGATACTATGTTACAATTCAATTTATCTCTGCAGTAATGATATTATGTTACAATTCAATTTATTTCTGCAGTAATGACACTATGTTACAATTCAATTTATCTCTGCAGTAATGATACTATGTTACAATTCAATTTATCTCTGCAGTAATGATACTATGTTACAATTCAATTTATCTCTGCAGTCATCTACTTTCCAGTGCACTGTCTGAGGGCAAGACTTTACATCCTTGTCAATGGTCTGAGGAAATTCAACGGAGGCTTAATCCAGGCAGAGGCCCTGCAAATGGATTTGGGGCTTTCACTATCATCCATACCCTTCTGTAAACTTGGTGCTCAGAATTTAAGCTCTAATACAATTCTCTCTTCTGATCTTGGATTTTATTATTCACAATCCTTGGATCAAGTTGATGTGTTCTTCCGTGTAGACTTACTAACACTGCATCATATGGCTGCTTATTTTAAGATAAGCCTTTAAGACACCCAATGCTATTCTTTGTGACTGGCACCATGTGATTTCTTCACCATCCTTTGGTACAGCACCCAGATCTTCAGTGATCACTTCATAAGGGCAAATATTGAGAAGGGCCACATCTTAAGAATGAATTATTTTTAGAATAAAAGCTGCACTTTAAAGTCAGCTCAAACCATGCTGGCAAATGGGATGCATCTCCAGGCAGGCTGTAATGCCTGGAGGCAGGAGATGGGTTCTCCAGAAAATTGGCCTTGCAGGGGGATGGGCAAGAATGAACACCCTCAGGTGTGAACAGGAAGGCTGGAATTTCAAGTCTACCCAGGGCTGCCAAGAAAGAAAGGCCTGATGGCCTACTTCCAAATAACGGGCCATTGGAAACCACGGAGCACACAGTGTTCTACTATGACCCACATGAGGTCCCCTGTTTAGGGCAGGATCAGAGAAGGCAGGAGTGAACCCTGGCTCCAGTCTGAAGAGCAGCCTGATCCTATACCCACAGTAAGTACCAGAGATGAGGGACATTGGGGCTACCCTATTCTTTTTCTACACCCCACGCTCATTCA